AACATCCTCGAGTATGGCGCAGACGTTCGGCTACGGTCGTTGTGCCAGGCGCTCGACGCTTACAGACAGATAGTTGTTCGGGGTCGAGAAGGTGTTGATGACCAGGAGTCACGGGAAGCTTCTGTGAAGAGCAGGTGCGGTGAAGGAGAAAAAGACGTCACCGCTTCGCCATCAACACAGAGCTCGCTACTGGTGACGGGCGAACTACAAGATCAACCAAGAGGGTCTGCCACTGCCGATACAGGGACCTCAAGGACCCGGTGTCATGCACCGCTGGCGCCTGCCAAGAAGGATGTACCACCTCCCGCAGCTGAACCGAGACCGAAGAGGAAAGTACATGAACCGGAGGTGTCCGACTCTGGTGCTGTGTTGCAGATGCCGAGAACGAGGTCGTCGACCAGACCCGAGCCCGTCGAAGTTACCGTCGTGAGGAGCGAGCAGAGATCTGACCAAGGGTGGACTTTCGAGTCACAGGGTGCACGAGTCTTTGTACCGGACCGGAAATGGTGCACGGCCATGCGTGGAGGGAAGATGGCCAGGCTCAACGTGGAGTATAATGTGTGGTTCTGCGACTAGGTCCGCCTCCTGCAATACCAGCTTACAGTAGACACAGTCAAAACTGTGCTGGAGCAGGAGAAGGTCGTTGCTTACATATCTCTGGTCGGCAGTCCCTTATCAGGCAAAGACTTGGCGTAATGATGGGTAACTCAATGTTCAACTATCTAGAGTCACTTCGGTTTTCGAGTTGACCTCGACCATAGGTCGCAGAAATTTCTTCACATACATATCTTGGAGTTCTTCACATCCTTGGGTAGATTGCAGTCGCCCTGACACACTCTCACGAAGCTTGCATAATACCGTCGTAGAAGAGCACATCACGCGGGACCGAACCTCTCACTTCTTCGATTCACAAAAGATGGACGCACTGTGATACTTCACGCCATGTAGCACAAATATGAAGTGGACGAATTCTTCGCTGCTGCATCGTAAACTGCAGCCTGAGTGCAAGCTACGATTGCATCGTTCTTTGCCTATGAGCATACTGCATTAACCCGACTTGTTACAGAGGACTAGCTTGCCAAGATCTGGAAAGTCTGCATTGAGCTCGCCGACGGTCTGGGCTTAGGGTGAGGCCATTCTGGCCCCCTATCGTTGCGTGGGTCGAATTTACTTATCGGAACAGGAAGTATCGTCACCGAAAGATGGTGGACCCGCCACCACGAAACCTGCCTTGACGAAAGAGAGATGGATTCAGTAGACGAGTTCGTTCTATCGCAGTAACATCAAGGGTAGCTTTCGAGCGAGAAGCTCCAGTGAAAAAATTAAAGAGCATATCACGACGCACAGACTCCCAGCGATACAGTACGCAGATACGTAGACAGACAAATTGGCCAGTCCAGCTGGTCCTTAACGGAGAAAACTCATCGTCCTGCACCATATGTTCAGTGAAAAGGCGTACCGCCAATCACCTGCTGTCCAGAAGAAGAATCAGCCTGCTCCAGAAAACTGATGGCCTTCTCAGACGCGACTAGCGTGTGCTCTCATGCGAGCAACCTCTTTCTCCAATACCTTCAGCTTCCTCTGCAACGACTTTATCTCGTCGAGCTCCTCAACAACATTGTCGACGCCAAGATCTTTCTCATCTACCGTCGCTGTTGCTTTCTGGAAAGCGCCTGGCCCAGCCACGGGCACATGGTGTTTGTGCTTGGTCGGTCCGAGTGGTCGTTCTTGGCCGGCGTCCGATCTGTACCCATCGATCTCATCGTCAACCACTTGCTGCCCGAACCTTTGACCCAGCACTGAACGAGCATACCAGGCGAAGTGGGTCGGTTGCTCACCGAAACCGACGAGAACGATCGTTTTTGCTCTTGTCGACCAGCCATTGGCAGGCTCTTTATCGAGGGCTCGTCTGACGGATGCGACACCAGCAATTACCATCTCGGCAAGATCCTTGTTCTTTAGGCCATGAGCGGCGCTTAAGACGATCATTGTGCTGTTAGGACTTTCGAGATACGATTTTCCGAATCCCTTGCCAAACTGGCTTGCAGCAACCAGTTCGTATCTGGTGAGGTAGTTATCGCCAGCATGACTGATCAGGAGTTGGTGGCCAAAACCGGCCTTCACTGCTCCTTCGATCTTCTTGTGGATGCCGATGTCCAAAACATGGTCAAGCTTGCGGGTGCAGTGCCGATAGCCAGGTTGGCCTGAAGCACTGACAGAGACAGGCGAAGTGGATGTGCCTCGAGGCCAGGGTTTCTTCTCTTCCTTCGGCATGTCCATGACCCATTCACCGGGATATTGGTGCTGCTTGTTGAAGCGGGTCAACTGGTCGTTCAACAGGTGGAACTGCTTTGCTGCCTCTTGATCGCCATGGCTTTTCTGCAGGCGTGCGAGATAGGGAGCAGCAGTCTTGAAAATGGCGCTGAAGCTGTCGATGTCGACTGTAAAGAGTCTCGCCTTGTCTTCAGGAAACCTGTTTTGGCGATTCTCCTCCATGATCTGATCGTTCAGGCGGTTCAATTGCGCCACAACTTGCGGATCACCTGGCTTGTGCATCAGCTGTCCTAGAAGAGGAGTGGCATGCTTCCAGATGGCTTGATGTGCTGCGGAAGGATGCATGGCGGATGAACCCTCCACGCCATCTATTTGGTCTCCGGCAGTCGCCCATTTGCCGTCACTGGTCAGGCGCAGCTCTTCGAGTTCTGTCCCATCCCAGTATTTGATCTCGTTGATCTCATCGGGATCAACATCAAGCTTTTGGGCTGCCTTGAGAACCACTGCGTAAACACACTATGTCAGCCGAAGCCAAGCTCATCGGAGGACTTCACAGTGACAATAGTACATACTCTTGAAGGCCTTCTCTGCCTGTGGAGCCAGGTTGTAATCGGGATGGGTCAGACAGCCTTGCTTTCTGAAGCTGTTGACGATCTTCTCCCTGTCTGCTTGGGAGTTCAGGTCGCGAGAGCCAATGTCAAGGATCTTTCTGTACTGGCGCGGCCGACAGGTCAGCACCCTGTCCATCGCTTCGATCTGGGCTAGCGTCGGCGCAGCTCGCTCACCTTGATCATCTTCTGCTTGCGTAGACGCGGTTGATTCCACATCTGCTTCTGGCTTCGATTGAGTGAATAGAGCGCTGTCTTGTGAACCATCCTCGGCGATCGAAGACAACTGGGCTGACTCCTGCAACTGACGTTCTTTGTCGGCATCCAGACGAGCTTGCTCGGGCCCTGGCGTGGGCTCTGGCGTGAACAAGCCGTGCTCACGGTGACTTGTATCTCGACGATGGCCTTCAGCTTTCGTTGTTGAAGCCATTGTATTTGTGCAGCAAAGGATAGTAAGTGAGGGTATGACTCAGGGCCAGGGCTTGCAACAGCGATGCAACGACACGTCAACAGGTTGTGTGAATTCCACCTCTTCGTCCAGGGATCCTGCGTCTTTTATATATCTTTGGCCCCATGTTTCGACCTTTGTGGCAGGGGGAATTGGGACACAGGAGTGGGGTTATCTTGCAGACGGTCGATTTCTGAAAGGTCGCTTTCTGACAGGAACGTTTTGGGAGGAAGGTTTCGTTCTAGGAGAATAGGGTCAATTCTGAGGACGAGGGCCAGTTCTGATGATGGGGCCAGTTCTGGGGACGAGGGTCAGTTTTGAGAACGAGGCAATTGAGACAAGCACGTTGTACGGTAATACTATACTGTGGACAGATATGCCACGGATTGGCTTGTCAAATCTTGTAGTATTGTTCGCCTGCAGATTGCTTCCACGAAGAGACAAAACTCGGATTCCTCAGCTGCAAATCGTGCGAAGCTGTTGCCGGCATTTGTCATATGGTAGATCCTACGTCATTCTGTAGAGACGCGTCAAACAAAGAGTCTTGCATGCAAAGGATGAGTGAACAAAGAAACAGCCGGAGGAGCAGACACTCGGGTAGTAACTAGGACCACCGCACTTTCCGGTCATATCTCGTTCTTGCGATAATTCATATGTGCATGCTTTAATGTCTTCGTGGCACGCTGTTCACTACACAATATCCTGGTGAACGCTGGGCCGCCATGCCAAATACGGGCTATGACAGTATCCCCTAACGCAATTGCGTTAGGTGAATGACGGAAAACCTCGCTGTGCCTGATGCCTCAAATGGCTACACTGTTCACGTACCCTTATCAGTGACGCTGAAATTACCGGCAAGCTCAAAGTCGAGTTTAACAAGGGGGTTGTCTTGCGAGGTGATTCACGATTCCGGCTTTCGGGTGCAGTAAAATCTTGAAACAGTAATCAACCAGATAAGGGATTGGGCAGAGCGGCTTGAATATCGTCTTCATTTTTTCATGAACCGACCATGTTGTCTAATGATCTCCCCCTTCCATAACAAAAGCAGGATAGGTATTAAACCTAGTACAATGCCAATGAACCCCAGCAAAGCCGGTGACCACTGAAATCCTAGTCTAGAAAACAGCGCGGGGGAAGCCAGTGGAACAAAGGCGGCAAATGTGTTGCGACCGAATGCCACCACTGCCAGGGCAGAGGATGCGTAATCTTTGTATGCGTCGGTAAGATAAGTGGTCACCGAATAAAAGATCGCAAAGATGCCAGTACCTATGACAAAAAGAGCTGCTGTAGGGAGCATAGGATGCAGCTCGGGGCGTAGTGTCCACCCGTACCAGAAAAGTCCCCCTATAAAGCAGATTGTGCCTGGAAGGGCCATGTACAGTCGAGCCTCAGGAATGACCTTTCCAGGTTTTTTGTGGTTCCAACTGCCGGAGTTGAAGTAGAAGATGTTAAAGACAGGACAAAGAACCAGTCCGAAAAGGCTGCCTGCACAGATCGACAATTGCACGATAGAAGTCTGCAGATTGGTATAGTTGTAGGTTGTAGTATATGTTAACACAATCGATTGCGCGAATGTGAAGAGTAGTGCCCAGACAAATGAAAGCCACAGCGTAAGAGAAATCACTGCCGGTTCCAAAGCCAGCATTTGGACTGCTCGTGCAAGCGACTGCTTACAGACGTGACCAAGTGACGACCGGCTTGCTGTGTTACAAGAGAACAGGGTCGAGGAACTTTCTTTACCCGCATCTCTGTTCCGACGTGAGAGGACGGTATGGTATCGCGTTTCGGGAACTCCGAACAGAAGAACTGGAAAGGCTCCCGTATTGACAATGATTTGCACGATGTAGATCCTGTGAATGCTATAAGAGAAGATCGGGAGAGGTGCGAAGAAGTTGCATACCAATGCCAGTCTTTGCTGTTCACAATCACACCTCCGATAAATGGTCCCAATGCGATACCTGCCACGGAACAAAAGCTGAAGAGTGCAATCGCAAGTGAACGACCTTGGCCGTCTGCCCAGATGCCAGAGATGGTGCCACCAGCCATTACTGAAACCTGGGCGGACGCAGCTCCATCGAGCAGCCGTCCCACGACGATCGTAGCAAAATGCTTTGCGAGGGCGCTGGGCACGAGGAATACAATAAACAAGCCCCACGTCACCAGGTAGATTGGCTTTCGGCCCATATGCTCAGATAGAGGTGCTATAAAGAGTGGTGTGACGGCGGACGCTGATTGGCGAGCAGTTGTGGCAAAATATAGCCAGGGGAAATCATCTTGTGAGATATCGAATGAAGACATCATCGCTTCATTTGCTGCCCCATAGCTTCCAGCTGGCAGGTTCGCAAGGATTGTCCTATGACGACTTTCAACACAACATTCGTGTGACCGAGCAAGAAGAGTTACTTACATGAAACAAACGATGGTGGTGATAACGCATTTTTTGGTGTTGGAAAAGTTATGTCTAAACAGGGCATCTCAGCACTGTAAAAATCGAATGCGGCATGCTGCCTTGCTTTGCTATCAGCTTACGGATACTCTGCGTCGTCTGAACCGCTCGAGTCAAGAGCAAGTTGTTCGTCCATCTGAAGGGTAGATCCTTCAGGTTATCTTGTAGGCATGATTCGGTTCGCTCAATGTAAATGTGCGACTTCGTTTATGCTCGACTAGGAGTGATTTTTAGGCGAATAGAAATGATGGTTGTGCAGAGCCTATCGCAGGCAGAGGCGGCTCGGTATTGTCTTCTGGTTGCGCAGGTTGGATGGCAATATATGATCCTCCAGATTGATGGCGTACTCAAGTGACCAGAGCATCATTTCTAAGTACTACCACGTACCTCGATGAGTACTCCACCAAAAAGTCAAACCAATGGGATCATGTCTTATATTTAAGAAGCTCTTTCTTGCAGGAAAATCCGTATTTCCCGCATCCATCGAGTTGAGGTTTGCTTCTCAATGATAGATCTATTCCTTAGCTCTGGAACTCGTCCCTCGCCACAACTCTTGAGGTTGAAGCCATGACGTTAAGTAAATCAGCAATTTCCATATGTGAAGCGTCGTCCGTGACATGCATGGCTTGACTAGGTCGGAGAATCTCATTAGCTTCTTCTTGGCGGTCCGCTGTTTTCTGGGAGGATCTGAGCCGTTACCGGCCCTCACAATGACAAGCACAAATTTTGTCACATCCACTAAAAAGCAATAACAGACATAGATACACCTTAACCACAACCGATCGCTTATCTCAGATGTCGTGTCAGAGATCTTGATCCGAGATTCGATCAACTCGTGATTGCTAAGTGCTCGGTTGAACCTTTCCCACTAGTGAACGTGCGAAAACTTCCAATCCTCACTCCTCAACAGCCCATTCGTCCTCTACCTCTGTCAATCAGCTCAACGCCATAACACTGTACATACTATCAGCGTAAAAATGATCCGGCCGCGTTGTTTCTACCGTGTTGATGTTCTAGGCTTGTTGTACTACTTTAAGTTCCCTTGTCTTCGCTTCCCAGGACCGTTTACTGCTGTATGGAATATTGCATTCACGTGTCAAAGCAGAACTCGGACTCAGGCAGGAAGAAGAGGTACGGCACGCTGGAATTTGGAGCTTCCGCTTGACAGCAGGCTCATCTCTGTATCTTCCATCTCTTGCAGCAGATCGTGTTGGCCAGTAAACAGAGGGTTGGCAGCGCGAGGCACCATCCAGTGGGCATGGGCGGACCGTGCTGCAGTACCTAAAACACGATCAGATGGACCCTTCACGGTGCTGAATGTCGATTCAGGTTGCTTGTTTACCTGCTTGTTCCTGCATCTCTTTTTGCAGTCGAAGGAATTCCAGTGATCGCGTGAATCTGCCGAGCCAGTGTTCTCTTGTCGCCCAGGAACGCTTTCTCACGCGAGAAGAACTCGACGGTCTTCGGAGCCAGCAGCTCTTACAGGATCTAGCCTCGGATGAACCATCTGCTTAACAGAAAGCTCGACTTCTAGGCAGACTACGCGTCGCCTTCGTAGTTCCGCTTCCAAGCTGAGACGTTAGGTAGGTATATATAGTACTTTACCGCGTTCTAATACTAGCGAAACATCGAGGTAATGGCTTCTAAGAGCTCGCTATAGCTGTTCTTATTAATACAGTATATATCCACCTAGAAGTAATTAACACCGTCTTTTCTGGCCTGCTCGGCACAGAACCGAATCTTCTCGTAGCCCGGCTTCCTCTATCCTGCTGCTGTTTCGGCCTCAGTAAAGGTCACTTCCTAGCTGTTGTCGCGTGCCTAGGTGTAGGAGAGGATAGTATACGGCAGTCGCTCGTCGTCGTATAAGTCTAGAGTTAAGCTAACTTAATTCTAGTCCGTCTATCTTAGTAGTCGTATTATTTAGGAATCGTAATAAGTTTAACGAGTGCTCTACTACATAATTACGATACCGTAGCCTCGCGGCTAAGGAGGCTATATATAACCCTCGAATAGCGGGCGACAGAGAGGTAATACGATATACTCGTTAGAGCTATACTGTATACTAGGTTATCTAGAGACAGACTTACGTACGATACTGTTAGGACCAGTGCTCTCTAGCGGTCAGCATAGGGGTAGCACGAGGAACGACTAGAATAACGTCTAAAGATACTGATCTAGCTACTGCTATCACATCGATTCAGCACTTGGAAGTCCAAGTGTGACCGCATGTAGGGCGCAGGTGATAAGCACGCGCCCCGCAGGTCTTGGCATTCATGACAGATACCCTTTATTCTATACGATAAAGGATAATCTTACTATTAACGATCAGCTAGATACGATAGTATAATAACCGTTATGCCTTAGCGATAAGAGAGTATAGGCCTAGGTAACCACTATAGTGATACATACATAAGCTGTCTCTATATGTCACGACTTATCATGCGGCCAGGTCTACGACCAGGCATGACAGCTGGACGTACGGCTGGACGCACGCTGTCACGACCTTTATGCGACCAGGTCCACGCTAGGGCATATG